AGCAAGATACCCACAAGGGCACAATAGTGGCACTTATATATTGGGGATTATCATCAGCTATTTCATTAGGCTTAAGGTCACTTAATAGGAGAGAGTTCATGCCCGGTATTGTAAACTATCCATGGCTGGAGAAGTCATAGACCCTAGATTCCCAAATCAATATTAGTTACTAACTGTATTCTAAATACCTGTCCCTATATGCATAGATATGTGCAGCTCTTGCCTCTCGTCATAGAAGCTTCTTTTTGTAGAAGGCAAGGCTATGAGAGATTCATGACTGGTTAGATGTAGAGGGTAATGCCTGTGGGCTGTATCTGCCCCAACTGGAACATCTACAACACAACTCTCAACCTGTCTCACCGGACCTCTCAGGAGGTGGGGCAGAAAAGTGAAAACTAGAGGACCAAGAGGACTACTGTGAGACAGTGTTTTCTAGTTGTCCCAATGGCATTTTGAAATTCAGACATAACACCCTGGGTTTTAACGCCAGTACTGCAAAGAAAGAGAGACAGTGGGAAAGAGTGGGGAAAGAGGAGGGGGAGGGAGAGAGGGGAGTGGTGGAGAAAAACCATGAGTTATGTTTTACTTGACAGTTACTTGCGTATGTGCACTATCCAATTAAAAAGCACACGGTAGACTTTGAATGCTGACAAATGACCACAGGAATTCTAAGAAATGCTGTGTTATGAAGTGGGGAAGCTGGGGAAATTACTTGAAGCATGTCAGGTTAGAGTGCTGAATGTGTCAAATAGATGGTTAAGAGGCAGAAATGAATGCTTAGGGTCGGGGGAGAAGCAAGAACAAATTGGGTGACAAGGGTGAGATGCTTTAGTAAATCCATCAGTTCCACGAAGGCCCATGGGTTTTGAGCTGTGGGGACCAGGTTTTCATTGCTTCCCCAAGTTTTCTTTTAGTTTTACTTCACTTTTCAGAGCTTTTCACTTATTTTTATCTAGCAGATAACATTGCTTACGGCACTGTCCTGATTTTTACATCCTTATATTTATTACTCCAGAATCAGAATGTAATTCCCCTTTTATGCAGATAACGTGTGTGTGCTCATTTGAGCATGTGTGAATGCATGCATGCATGCATGTGGTTCATGTGTATAGGGAATGGAGGTCACCCTTAGGAATTCGGTTCACCTCTTTTGGGACAGAGTCTCATCAGTTAGGATAAATTCCTCCTGTCTTTACCTCCACAGTCCTGGGGTGACAAGTATGTGCCATCAAGTCTAGCTTTGTAGGTGGGTTTTGGGCGTCAAGGGTGAGATCTCAAGATGCAAAGCAAGTGCTTTTTCAACTAAGCCAAAACCCACCCCTCCCTAGAATATCCTTTCTTAATTTGGTAGCCTCTCAGCTCTTGCATTTCATAGGCTATTCTCAAAGACCTAGAAAGCTGTCCAGGTTGACAACTGCCAGTATCCTTCAGTACATGAATGCTTGTCACTTGGAAGGACACAGACATAAGAATGCCACAGTTGTACTACCCAGAAGTCTTCACCCAGAGGAGGGGCTCCATCCCTGTCTCATCTTCCCCATGACTGCAGTTCAAAATCTACCAAAATGGAGAAAAATAAACTGACAAATGACAGCAAACTGAAACTCACACAGATCTTGAGACGCTTATAATGAAGGGTGACTAGGTAGGGTGGTTTGGCTTCTTGTTCTGCCATTTCAAGTACAGTTTGGATCAAGGTCATATAGAACTGAGAAGAGTTGCTTATTTATTTATTTGTTTTTTTGGTCACCTACTCTAAATTCAGCACTGTTCCTGGGGCTCATTACTTAACATTCATAATGCAGGCCACTGCAAAGCCCCCACATCAGAAAACAAAACACAAAAAGTTTATCACTGCCACTGGAGGAGGGGTGATTATTCCCAATTATAAAGGTGCCCAAAATTCAGGTGCAGATAGGATAAACTTGGGTGTCACAGAGATGATATTTGAGTCCAGTCTCAACCCTTCCCAAACCCCAGTTTTATCACTTACTAGACCTTTGGCCAAGTCACTCATTTATTCAATGGCCACTGTATGTTTGCTGTAGGTTTGCTGCTTGGCACTGGGTTTTCAAGAAACAATCTGGCCCAGTCCTTTCTCTTAATGAAGCCCTTAACAGTAGGTGCACTGAAAGGGGATGGGCATGGAAGGGAAGCCTTGTCACGAACTGCTAGGCACAGTTCTGGGGTTCTGAAAGTGTGGTAGGTGGGAAGTACAAATGGGAACCCAGTACATTCTAACCTGGGACTGCAAGGTGGCAGAGGTCAGGAGAGTGCTCACAGGAAAGTTAGCTTTGTAATTCCATGTTGTCACTACTGAGGCAGGTGGCTGAAAACAAAAATGTTTAGCCTGAGTGAACCCTGGACCCTGAAAGGGCTTGGTAAGAAATCAAAGTGACTCAAGGCTGGCTGGAGTGAGTGAAATTGCTGAAAGGTGGGGGCTGCTGAGTGCTACTTTTTTTGTTAGAGGACTAAGGAAGTAACAGAGTGCTAAGCAAACCACGAGAGCAGGCTGGAGTACTTTCCCTTCATCCTCTTTCCCTCCTCAACCTCCTAGTCTTTTTCTTCAGTGCTGGGTATTGAATCCACGAGTCTGGCACATGGCACCCACTTTCTAGCTGCCGAGCTACACTTGTGGCCACCATGTGACTCCTGACATACTGTAGGATTCTTATTGTGGATCAGTTGGCATAACACCTAACAAATGGTTCAGACCCATAAAGTTATATAAGAGTGGACAGAAGCTTGGTTACTGTAAGGCGTGGATTCTGACAAAAAGACTGAAACAAAAGCTGAATTTGGTGTCAAACCCTCGAGTAGACTTGTGTGTATATCTATGTGAGTGCATGAATGAGTAGATTCAGCACAGTGGGGCAGAATTCAAAACTTTTCCACGGGAAGAGCTTAATTGTTTCCAAAGCCAGGAGAAGCTTCCTCCCTCCCCCACCCCCTCTCTTCCTTTCTATCCTCCTGCCTCAGAAACCTGAGTTCTAGTATTCTAAGTGTGCCTTCATGCCTAATATACATCCTTACAGGCCAATTTGCCCATCTCTATTAGACGGTTCTGTACATATTTATATTCTAAGAATGCAAACTATGAAATCTGAATTTAGATTATTCAACATAATCTAAATAACAATCAGCCATTGAAGATACACAGCAACTATTTGTTAAATAAGTATCTAGCTAATGGGAAACTAAAAATAATCTCACTCCCTGAGTTGTGACAGGACACTCGTGTTGTGTGCATGGCCAGAGTAGGAGGTACCTTCTTGTTTCAAAAATGCAGTCATCATGCTACATATTTTGTGTTTTCAAGGAGACACAAATGATAGTCAAAATGATCTGATTTGGAGTCTTGTTACAAGTCACAAGGACCTGAGGCACGTGGCCTACTCCTGTATGTATCAGTGTTCTCATCTGCATATTATGGGCAATAATTGAGTCTATCTTATGGCATTGTCATGAAGACTTACTGAGTTAATGAACACAAATCACTGTAGAATAGCTGGGCTACATCACTCGTGCACTACCTAGGTCACAGGAGGAGGCAAGACTACCAAGGAAAAGGGCAGCATGTGGCTATAGTTACATCTTAGGACTCATGTCTCCCTGGGAGTTATGGCTGATAACAGAGTAAGGAAAAGGTTCATACAGCATGGTGGCAGAACTTTCCTACCACTAACAAGTCAGGCATGTGGCGTGAAGTTGTTCACCCCTTAGAATTGTTCTTAAAAGCATGGGCAGGAAACTGGAGAGATGGCTCAGTGTTTAAGAGCATTCTTCCAGCGGAACAGGGTTCAATTTTCAGCATCTACCTGACTGCTCACAACTGTGTGTAATTCCAGTTCCAGGGGGGTCCAACATCCTTTTCTGGTCTCTGGCCACCAGGCATGTAAATGGTGCTCAGACATACACGTAGACAAAACATCTATACACACGCAGCAATAATTAACTCCCCCTCCCCCAAAATAACACGGTCAGTGTTGGAACATAGTTCAGGAATAGAGTCATGTGAGGGGAATTCTGAGTGCTTGTGAGAAAACTCCAAGAAAATAAGACAGGAATCTTGCGATCCCAGTTTCTTCAAAACACAGCATTGTTCTTGGAATGTGTTTTCACGCTCCTCCCAGGTATAGGGGATAGGAGTGAGTTTACTTCAGCTGTTGTTATTCATGTGTCCTCAGAGTAGAAATTGCCTGATGCTCTGATAAAGTTGGCTATTGCGTGAGACTTTAGTCCCTCTCATTTTTAGGCCTGCTCTCCCAGGTTCACACTGCCAGCTCCAGTGGTAAGCAGGTCAGCTACATGAGAAGCTCCATTACAGAAATACATTTCATGCTAAATGTGCCATTGTCATATTTTTTCCCGTTAAGACCTGTGAGCACTTTGATATCTTAAACCTTTCTCAGATATATCTTTTAGCAGTATATACATTTTTATGTCACCAGGCTTATGCTGAGCCATCTCAATGGCTTCACTACCTTTTAATTAAAAAAACATTTTCAAACATTTCTGTATTAGGAATATGTGTGTGTGTGTGTGTATAGTCAGAGGACAACTTGTAGGAGCTGGTTCACTCTCTGTAGCATGTAGATTCCAGAGACTGATCTGTTTGTCAGGCTTGCATACAAGCACCTTTATCCACTGAGCCTTTATCCTGCTGGCCCCCATTTTTTAGTATCTGAGACAAGCTCTCTCAATGAGCCTGAAGATCTGTGATTCAGTTATGCTGGGTGAACAAAGACCTTCAGGGACCCACCTGTCTCCATCCCACCAGGGCTGCTGTTACAGGCTTACATTACCACCCCAGCTTTTTGCATGAGTTCTGGGGATCTAAACCCATATCCTCATGCTTATGGGGTAGCCACTTTACAGACTGAACATCCTTCCCAGCCATGTCAATTTTGCTTACAAACTGGCTTAAAAAAGACACATTTTAAACTCACAAATTTACCAAGAGAGCTGCCTGACAGGTATCAATGCTTTTTGGTCTTTGCTAAAAGTCTTTATAAATGTTTGGCATATTTATTAGTATGACGGGGGTATTTTAAACAACATATTTATCATCTGTTACAGAATAATCCATTGTGATCAGAGTACATTAAAATCTCCTATGTGTTGACAACCCAGCAGGTGCCTTGGTGGTGTCCAGTTTTCAGCAGGGTCCTAGACATTAACTTTCAAAATCCCAAGTTAGGCTATGTGGATTCAAGGAAGTGATTTTTCCTAACCAAAACAATGATTATAGACTTTATTCTGGTGTTCTGGTGAGGCTAAAGTTAAGCTGTATAAGGCCCAAACGGCTTGTTAAGCTGAGTCCAGCTCTGTATCACATGAAATGACTAAGTTTCTCCATTCTTCCGCCTGAAAAACACAACTAACTGTTGAAGGAGTAAGGCTGCAGTGACTCCTCACACTCAGGAACATGGCCAGCTCATTTCTAAATGGAAACTCCCAAGTGCCACAGCACATCAATCCTCTGACATATAATCCGACTTCCAGAGCTGGAATGTTCTCTAAAGGTCAGGTCTTTAGATGAAGAATGGCAGTTTAGTGGGTTATGCAGCAGAAATGCCTAAATCTGGAGCCTTGCTTCATGTCGGAGAAACAGCTTCTCTTCAAACAGCAGAGAGGAAGAAAGAACCTAGGACCGTAAGCCGAAAGTCTTTTGCTTAATCACATTTCTTACTGCCTCTGCCTGTATCTCATTAAAAGTAAGCTAATGAAATATGGCTGGGCATAGTAGTATCATGTTTATCTACTTTCACAGGTGTGCTAGGGGAGTCGGGAAACATTATCCGGCCTCTATTTGAGAAAACTGAAGAAATGCTACACTCGAAGTGGGAAAAAATCTGTATTTTTGGCTTCAGAAATTGGAAATTTTCAGCACAATTACTTTTTTCTTCAATAAAAAAGGATCTTGCCACGCTGTTCTGGCTGGCTTCGAATTCGTGGTGTTCCTGTTTCATTGAGGATTAGACTTGGGCTACTACACCTGCTATCTACATATAGAAAGGAAGCCAAGCCAGGCCTGGTAGTGACACATGATCACAATCCCAGGACTTGGGGCACAGTGGTGGAGAAAGGAAGGTCACAAGTTCAAGACTATGTAACAAGTTCCAGGCCAGCTCAGGCTACCTGTGACTCCACTTCCATAAAGTAAAACCACTAGAAAGTGGGCCAGGAGCTAGAGTTCCCTTCTCTCTTTCCACATTCTCTGTATTTTGCTCTCCATTCCACTCCCAAATGCGTTCTATCCACATGCTGGCCCATGAGACTCCTGCAGTTTATCAAAGTGAAGCAACCGAGGAGTTCTTTTTTCAAACAGGCAAATCTTTTTGTTAGGGTGGGACCTGAAACTGCGGGCTTCTAAGCAGTCCTAACCCTGCGGGATTATAAGAATCTGATATTACCTACTTTTTCAGAATGGCCAAAAGCGAGTAACTAAGGATATTGATGCTCCCGGCCACTACCAACCAGCTGCGAGACCTTGGGCGACTGGGTTAAACTTTTCCCAGGCTATAGCGATGAATGATCTTTAAAAATGATCTAATACCTGCTCTGAACACAACCGCACGGCTCCTACATGGCACACAGAAGGCCTTTAAAGCTCTCTTCTAAGCAATTCTTGAACCGCAGAACGCTTCCGAGAGCAAACATCCGGTACAGGGGGAGGACACCTGGGCTTTGCAAGTCGTCTTACGGGAACCTGCGAGCTCCGTGTTGCTCCTCCGCCCACGCTCCGGGGCGCCCGGCCCCCCGCTCCTCTCGGGACAGAGTCTGGA